CTTCCTAATGGGGCAGCTAAGTAGTACAGTGGATAGAACATTAGATCTGAATAGAGTCAGAAAGACCCGAGTTCAAACCCCATCTCTGATACTTACTAACTCTGTGACTCTAGGCAAGTCACTTAAGTTCTCAGTTTTAGTTTCCTCATCCGCAAAATGGGGATAATAATAGCACTTAACTCTCAAGATTGTCATAAGGATAAAAATGAGATCTTTGTAAAAAAGAGGAGAACCAAAAAGTGAGTTAACTGTGAATTAGCAAGCAGCTCAACAAGGCAGTTGAGAACCTCGAGAGGCAAGCTTCCCAATCTAGTGCCGTGACATGCCTTTTTGGAGGACACAGGAAGTGAGGCAAGAACTAGTCAGTCACCATGTGAGTGAGGCTCCACTGAGTATGTAAAATGTTTGTACTAGAAATACAGGATTGGAGAATGACAGTGCTAGAAGAGACCTTGGTGGTTATCTATTCTACATCTAATTCAATCACAAGGTCATAAATCTTTAGCTGGAAGGGACCTTATTTTACAAATTAGGAAACTGGAGCCCAGTGATTTGCCCAAGGTCGTACCCAAAGTTTGTGGCAGAAACATGATTCAAACTCAGCCCTTCTAATCTCAAATCTGGTGGACTCTTTTATCCACATCACTGTTACCTCCTATACATACATACATACATACATATACATACATACATACACACACATATAGATAGATAGATAGATAGATAGATAGATAGATAGATAGATAGATAGATAGATTTATATATTGTTGTTGGTGAGGCAGTTGGGGTTAAGTGATTTGCCCAGAGTCACACAGCTAGTGAGTGTTGTGTCTGACGCCAGATTTGAACTCAAGTCCTCCTGACTCCAAGGCCAGTGCTCTATCCACTGCGTCACCTAGCTGCCCCAACCTCCTATATTTTTGACAATGGCTGTTTTTTCTTTTTCTTTTAGACAGCTTGGCACGGTGGAAAAAGTATAAAACGAACATCTGAAGACATAGGTTTGAGATTCCATTAGCCACTTTTTGGCAGTAATGTTGGGCAAGTAGCCTCCTACTCCATGTCTCAATAGTATTTCACTTGATCTTAAAGACGTAGGATGAGAGACAAATACAACAGAATATGACAAATACAAGAGAGCACCCAAGAATTCTAAGAAAATGTGAAAAGGAAGAAATGGTTTTGACCTAGGAAGGGGTGGAGCACCCTACATAAAGACTGAGGTAAAGACAGAATGTTAGAATCAGAAGGAGCTTTAGCCATTATCTCATCCACAACTCCCATTTTCAAAATAAGCAAATGCAGACTGAGATTATGGAACATACCTATGGCTACAAAGATAGGAAGATAGATATAAGTAGGACTGAGGTTACTTAGCTCTTGGGGCAGTACACTTCCTCCTTCATTTTACAAAAAAAAAATAAAAAATTATCATATTGCTCCTTTCAGTACCAACTCCCATCTTGCATTTGAAAAGAAATCAATTTGCAGCAAATTTTCAGGGACATACTTACCAAATACAGCAAAGCATACCTGTAATAAGCAAGGCGATGTCAAAACAATTTTACCTCGATTAACACAATTGCGTTTCTTCACATCTCCACCAGAGGGCACTATTCCCAATCAAAGTAATGAGTAGAAATAGAAACTATTTTTGCCCAAATGAAAATCCACCCAATTTTGAAAACCCTTGCCGTAAATAAATATTATTATTTCAGAACAAACCTGTCCCAATAATATCAAATAAAACATTTTCGAGACACGTGCAATGACTGATAATAAAATATTAGTGTAATGTGGCAGCAGCGTGGTAAAATAGTTCTGGAGTTAAAAGTCCTAGGTTCAAATCCCAGCTCTGGAAAGGCTGTAGTTGTATATATAGCTCAGCATAATGAAAAGAGTGCTCTGAATTTAGAGTCAAAAGGACCCAATTCGAATTCCAGCTCTGTCTCTACTACAAGACCTTAATTGCCTTCAAGACCCCTTCCAGCTCTGAATCCACGATCTTAATGATTGCTTCCACACTGAAGGAATGCAATAAAAGGCCAGCGTAATGTAATTAGCCTTTGCCATCAGTGTCTTCCTAAGTAAGCGCAAGCTACAAATGTCTGCTGCATCTGCTGCTACGGCTACAGCTAATACAATTCACCCGGGCGGTCCCAGTCTGGTTCCATCATTATCTGCTCCCCCACCCCAGCACAATCTCTGTGTAAAGGCCCAATAGCAGGACGAGACGTGATCTGGACTAACCTTAATCGATGCCTATGAACATCCTCCACATAATATACAAGGGCAGGCAAGGCACTGCAGCTGCCCCCAGGACTCCTAGAACCCCAATCTCCCTCCCAACACTTACTTCTCTGACTCTTACCCAATTCCTGCTTATCTCCAAGTAACACATTCTCTGCTCATCCACTCTCCACTTCAAATACAAGCTGCTATCCATCCACAACTCATACACAAGCTACCATCCTATTCCCTGGGTGCTCTTCAACTCCCCATTAGCTTTGCAAGACTAATCAACCAACACCATTTTTAGCTGATGAACAAAGCAGAGGAAACTGTCTGAGCTGTGAAGAACAGCTCTATCGACCTAGAAAACTCCATGGATAGAGCCAGCAATAGACTTGAAGTCAGAAAGTCCTGAGTTCAAATCCCATATCAGATTTTTATTAACTGTGTTACCCTGGGAAAGCCACTTAAGATCTCTCAGCCTCAGTTTCTTTATTTGCAAAATAGGAATGATAATACTACTTATCTCACAGGCTTTTGGTAAAGCTCAAGTAAGATAATATATGGAAAGCACTACATAAAGGATGACTATTATTATTACTGTTGTTGTTGTTGTTGTTAATATTATTATTGCTATTGTTGTTGTTAATATTATCACTTGCCTCTCTACCTGCTGACATGTTAATCCCATCCTCCAATATCATTGTGATACAGGGATTCTTCAATATTCTGAAGTCACCTGGAGGTGTGAGTACATTCCAAATAAGGGACATCTATTACCCACACTTTTGATGGGATGTGATAGACTTATGGATCCATTCCATCCTCTTTTTTTTTTTTTTAGGCAGTTGGGGTTAAGTGACTTGTCCAGGGTCACACAGCTAGTAAGTGTCAAGTGTTTGGTCTGAGGCCGGATTTGAACTCAGGTCCTCCTGACTTCAGGGCCGGTTCTCTATCTACTGTACCACCTAGCTGCCCCCATCTTCTTTTTAAAAACACATTTTATTAATGCCTTTTTCTTGACATCACAGTCATTTCATCATCAAGAGGAACTGAGTTCAAAATCTGCCCCAGTTACTTATTAACTATGTGACCCTGGCTAGGCAAGTCACTTGATCTCTTAAAATGATTATGGTGGGTTTGAGGTTCTAGTCCCTTCCCACTCTAAATATCTGATCTTATTATTCTACACAAATAAAATAGTTTTAGAACTCTTGGTTTGCAACCTCATTGATAAGGGAGAGAGAGAGAAGTTAACGTGTGTACCAAAATGCACATTGGGTTAATTCAAATTGAAGTTTTAAGTCTCCTTTGTGCTCTATATATAAAAAACGAAGATAGGAAAAGCAGCATGTGGTGGTAAGCAGTTAGCAAACAGAGTGCCTGACATCAGAGAAGGCATGGGTTCAGATTCTGTCCCTGACCCTAGCATGTGACCCTGGCCAAATCACTTAGCCCCTATGGGACTCAGTTTCCTTCCCTCCAACCACATAGGGATGCAGTGAGGATCCAGTGAGTTAAGTCCCATGTAGTGTTTTGCTTTCCTAAAAATATGTAAATGTCTGCTATTTTTTTTTTAAATCAAGGTAAAATGTCCGTCTCTTCCAACTTAAAAGAGAGCTCACCACCATGCACTAGCCAGCGTGGGATGCCAGTGCCAGCATCTGGTTTCTGTACAATGGTGGCTGTATTGGGGGCATGTGACTAAAGGAGAATTTGGATTCCTCCCTGCTGGTATAATCATCAGTTATTATTTTTCCTTGATCTCCCCTCTAGATAAGGACTCAATGTGGGCTGCTCTCTTAGCCTTTTACTTTTTGGCTGTATTTTATGTCTGCAACCTTCAAAATTATAACTCCAGACTTCCTGGAAGAATGGGCCCCATTTCCACCTTAGGCTAAATTTGGGTTCTATTTGAGTTTATATTCCCTTTGGCTACATTGCAGAAATAGGGGAATGGATCCAGGAATAACTTATCCATTTTTATCCTTTTCATTCCTGAAAATCCAATGTGAGAGTTTGGAAAAATGGGTTGCTGAGACTAAATGAAACTATCATCTGAAATTTGTACACTTGTGGATGAAAACAGTGTTTTGGGTTTTTAACTATTAAAAATGACAACCAAAGAAGCCTGATTCAATATCGGCTGTATTTAAATATTGGTTCTATTTAAAATCCCATTGGCAGTGGTGGTGGTCATGATGACAGAGGCATGTTTTTATTGTCTTAGAAAGAAAGATTAATGGCAGAAAATATTTTCTGTTCTCAGTTACTGATTCTATAGTCATGATTAAGCAATCTATGCAAAATAAAAACTTAGGGCAATTATCTGTATATGGGGGGGAGTGGGGGGATTGGAAGAAGGATACAGCAGGAGAGAGGGGGCGAGACACCTGCTCCAGAGGAACTGAAGGGGACTGGGGCCTCACTTGTAGAGTTTGGCTGTTTTCGATGATTAAATTCCCAGGCAGTGTTTAACGCCCCCCCCCTCCCCTTAACTTGGTCTATGTGAACTCAGCCAGACATACTAATTTTTCTCACAGGTCCAGTAAAACCAAGTAAAGTGCATGATGTCAGCACAATCACTGCTGAAAGTGACAGGTCCCTAGTGCCAGGGCTGTAGAGAAAAGAAGAAGAGAGAAGAAGGAGATATAGAAAAGTAGAAACGCATAACTCCTGGCCCCCATCGGCCACATAGTAACCTAGACCTTGGGGTTCCACTGGAACCCTCACTCTACCCATTCCCAAGTCAAAGGTCAGATACTCACCAAGGTTGGGCTGAGACATTGCCATTGATCTCTGGGGCATTGGGGTCGAAGTTGTAGCAGGGTGGAGGGCCATGTGGTTTAAAGGTTGAGTCATTGTCTTCCGAGGGTCTTGCCATGTGGTGATTTTTTCTATGTGACTAAAATAAAAGAAACAATTAGTTTCTAGATAATTAGCATCACAGTCATCTGCATCAGCAGCAGCAATCAGAGATTAAGTGACAGTCAGCTATTAATTTAGAATGTGCTTGCAGATTCTGCTCTTTGCTTTTATTAGGAGACCTATTGAGTTTCTAACAAGTGTACAATGAGCTTCTTAAACATGGAAGTGTTTATTGGGGTCTGCTCTCTTGGCTGCCCAACCATGGTCAAGGGGGTAGGCTCTCTCAGGGGGTAACATTTGAGTCCACAAGTGATTATCTCCCTTTGCCTATGGAGAGGTTCCCTTGATATCAAAACACACAAAACAAGGTTCAAACTCATTAAGTCAGCATTTGTTGGCAATAGGTCAGAATACAAATAAATAACTTCCTTGACCAGGGCCTCTTATCCCCATTTCACCCTTACTCCATTTGTACCAACCACCTTCTTTCAGCTGAACACTTGACCCTTTCATTATATACAGAGTGAGAAGCATGCTGGAGGTGAAAAGGACCTCAGGGTTCATGTAGTTCAATCCATGCCTGACCAAGAATTCCCTCTACAGCGTGCCCAACAGGTGATTTTCCTAAAATGGAGAGATGAATCACCACATACATACACACACACACATACACACACACACACACACACACACACACACACACACACACACACGGAGTGTTGTAGCTGTGGACAGTCTAATGCTTTCAGTATGTCTACTGAATAGAATTAATAAGATTCTGCCCCTCCTGCCTTCTCCTCCTCCTTCTTTTCCTCCTCTTTTTTCCTTCTCCTCCCCAACAATTTCATCAGCATACAGGTTCTGCTCCCAGCCTACCAAACCACATTAGCAATCATCTCAGATGACTCAATCCTGGGGCCAGATTGCCGACTTCCTCTTCCACTCCCCTCAAGCACTAACTTTTGTGGGAGTTTGTTAGCTTCTGCCCTATGAAGATCAGCCTGATTTCTCTGGTGCCTCCACCTGAAATGTTGACATACTTTGCTTTTCTGGATGAGCACAGGGACTGATCTGAATCCCAGAGAGACATCAGATTTCCCATCTGTTTTGACAGCTGGCTCCTGGAATGGTTGGCAATCTCATAGTTGGGGGGTGCCTGCTTCTCCTTTCTCCCAAGGCTGTGTCATTTTCAAGGCCTGCTTCACCTCTATTCATTTTCTCCTGGTTACATGAACATTACAATGATTTCTCTTCCTGCTGGACCTTTTCTCAGATTCTAGGGGTGATGGCTTCTTCCTGGTCCTGGTCTTTAATGTAAGAAACTGTCTTTACCTTTTAACATCACTACTGGGTCTGGAAGTTTTTAACCCCAATCCACAATTCTGTGGCAGTTCTGACTCCCTTCTTTTAAAAAAAAAATTAAATTTATTTATTTATTTTTCATTTTCGACGTTCACTTTCATAAGATTTTGAGTTCTAAATTTTTCCCTCTTCCCTCCCCTTCCCCTCCCCAGGACAACATGCAATCTGATATAGGCTATACATGTACAATCATATTAAACATATTTCCACATTGGTCATGTTGTGAAAGAAGAAATAAAAAATGAGAAACAAAAAAAGATAAAATAGCATGCTTCGATCTGCATTCAGACTCCATAGTTCTTTAAACATATTTCCACATTAGTCATGTTGTGAACGAAGAAACAAAAAAAGAGAAAATAGCAAGCTTCGATCTGCATTCAAACTCCGTAGTTCTTTCTCTGGATATGCTGACTCCCTTCTAAAGCAGGTCTTTGATGTATACTAAGTGAGTGTGGCACAAAATTTAGCCATTGAATATTTAGGAGAAAGTTGTGACTTGATAATCTGAGGCAGTTAGATGTTCTAACGAGTATAGCGCTGGACTTGAGTTCAAATTCTAACCTAGACACTTCACAGCTGGGTGATGCAGCTCGGAAAGTCGCTAAACCTCTCAGCATCAGTTTCTTCATCTGTAAAATGGAGATGATGATAGTAGTAACACCCACCTCACAAGATAGTTGAAGTGCTTTATAAATGCTTGCTAATGGAATTTTAGTATTGTCAACTACCTCACAGGCTCATAGGTTTGGAGATGGAAAGCACCTGAGGGCCACCATTGCCAACTCCCCCATTTTACAGATGAAAAAAATGAGGCCCAGAGAGTTTGGCTTCCCCAAGGTCACACAGGTAGTAAGTGAAAGCTACAGGATTTGAACTTAGGTCCCCTAGATCCTTGCCCAAATGCTCTCTCAACTGTACCATGTTGCTTCTCTTATAATCTTGGATAATATTGAAAATCAGTAAGAAGATACAATAGAAACTGAAGAGAAGGAAAATCAAAGCACCAGAGTACAGTAAGAATATTTAAAAAAAAAACAACTTATGATATAAACTTATAAACAACCAATGAGAGGGAGAACAGCACTGGCAAATATAAAAATTCAAATGACATGAGTATCTTCAGCACACCTCCACCTCAATCACCCACTTCCTTTTACAGCCTTCATAAATTTCTCTTCTTCGCTAAAGCACATGCAGAATACCACAACCAACCTCCCAGGGCCCAATATATTAAGGATGAAGACAGAGTAAATACTCCATAACCAGCTGATGATGCCATAACCCCTATTTAGGGTTCAGCAAACTCCCTTCCAGTGTATTAAACCTAAGCTGCCTTGACCGATGCCCCTAGGCTTCATATTATAAAAATAAACAATTATGTATGAATGCTAGATGTATTATCCATGAGACAGAGAGAGTCCACCTAGGATTAGGGCCTTCTACCACCAGCTACCGCCACCAACCCCAATACACCCAAGTACATCCTTTCCATTAACTCTCCCCTAAGTATAGTAGCATTGACCAGGATGCAACAGCTGTATTTCACATAAGCAGAAATTGATCCACTAAGATCATAACACCTCTTGAAAAATCCTCTTTCTGATATACTTTGTTGTCAGGAATTTTATTATGAAAGGAAGAACTAATATAAGAAATATAAGGATGGCTTCTCACAGATCCTAGATCTCTCCCCGCTGTAGCCCCACCAAAAGAGAGCGCTTTCTTCTGTTTTCCGTCTCTCCTCTTTCTTCCCTCCCAATGAGGTGGGCTATGGCTCCCCAGTCCTCTTGGTCTGCTCAGAGCAAGGAGTACACAAGGCTTCCATATCCATGGGGATGATACCTCATTTCATTATGAAAAAGTCACACAGGTCACAGTTTGGGGAACCTGACTATTCAAGTTCTGAGACTAGGACCTCCTTCAACGACCACCATGACCAACTAACTCAGAAGCTTCTCCTAACCTCTGCCCCTGGACAACTTTTGTCCCAAGGTTCTTAGTTTCCCAAGAAGTGTGTTTATTGAGGTATCACCATATCTCTCAAATAATCTTCCAAGCTGCATAAAACGTAGTCAAAAAAAAAGGGCAGGGAGAGAGAAACTACAGTGAAAATCGCCGAGGAATGGATAATGGATTTTGTCATGGGACCTGAGATGACATCCTTGTAACCTGGATGATCTTGGGGGAGTCACGCACCTCCCACTAAGGGATGGATTAGATGCTCCTGGCTCTAACCCCATGACCCCATATGCTGAGCCATACCAGTAGTGCTGTGTGAGGCAGAGGATGAGAATCAATCCCTCATCTCAGCAAATTAATCTGTCCTGAAACCACACCTCTCACTGTAAACCTTAAGCGACAGTCTAAACCGCAGAGAAACATGTCACCCTTAAGTCACTTAACAATGTCTCCTTGTCTGCATGGGAAAACTTCCTTTAGCCAGGAGGCGGTTCAGTAAATAGCCAATCATTTTATTTACAAAACGAATTGTCCTCTCTCCCAAAGCTCTTTCTTGCCTAGGCTCCCTGCCCCACCCCCACCCCCCAAGCTGAAAACTGGATTTCAATTCTTCACTGTTTCATTCAGTGGTCATGGCTCCCCTCCCTCCTCAGAGGTACTGAGTCACTTCCTTTCTCCACAACTCGTAATGAAAACTTTCAATTGGCCACAAGATTGAATTTACAATCGTGTCACTTGAGGAAGGACTCCCACCTGTTACACTCCCTTGTTGACATTAGTTTAAAATCATTTTGTCTCCTGGTGTTTTTCATTCTCATAAAGCCTCCTTTATACTGAGTTCAAATTATCGTTTTCCACTGTGACTTCAGGAAAGTTATTTCACCTCCCTAGGCCTGTCTCTTCATCTGCAAAATGATGGGGTTGGATTGGATGGTCTCCAAGGCACATCTAGTTTCCAGATGATGATCTAAGTATCTGTTTGTTCAGTAGACAGGAATCCTTAGTGACATATAACGTAGGTCATGCTTAAGTGGTTTTGAAAAGGCAACCTTTCACCAGTAATGTTGAGCGATAAATAGATTTCAAATAAACAATCAGAGAATTTTGCATCTCAGAATCTCAGGGCCTTTAACCATAGGCCAAGAAAATATGAAATCTATAAGAGCAATAATTGTGAATCATCTCTAGAAAAAGTGACTCACAGGGACTATAGTTCAATTGTGATTTTTTTGTTTCCTGCTAGACAGTTCTCTTGAATGGAATTCTTTTCTTGTACTAAACAAAATGACTCCAAGTGAGCACTTTTAGGCTCGCAGTTTGGTTGGGAATTGAGTCTTCAGACTGATTAGTTCAAATTGTCTTTCCTTATAGCTCCGAGGTGGCAGAATGGTTTGCCATGAGTGGTTTTCGCTGCAGTCTTGTCTGACTCTTCATGATACCATTTTGGGTTTTCTTGGCAAAGATACAGGAGTATTCTTTTTTAATCCATTTCCTTCTACAGCTCATTTTACAGATGAGAAAACTGAGACAAATGGGCTTAAGTGACTTGTCTGGGGTCAAACAGCTACTAAGTGTCTGAGGCCAGATTTTAACTCAGGAAAATTTATCTTCCTGACTCAGGCACTGCATTGCATGGTATATTTTATTGATGTCAAATTCAAATAGGAAAAAGGGGCCACTAACCCATATAGATCCTTTAGGACTGCAAAGATCCCT